TCCCCTGGAGGATTCTCGTCCATGGAATCCTTCCCAAACCCTCTCTAAGTTTATTGAAATTAGCTCTCTTGAAGTCCAAGACTCTAGTTTGACTGTGTTCTATTGCTTGTGCTTCCATAATGTTGAATTCCAATATTGCATGATCACTTCCTCCCAGGGTTCCTATGGCTTCAACACCTTCTATCATTTCATCTCTGTTAGTGAGAATTAGGACCAAAATGGCTAATCCCCTAGTTCCCTTCTCTACTTTTTGGGAGACAAAGTTATCTGCTAGGTTTGTCAGGAATCTGTTTGATCTTCCACTTGGTGCAGAGTTTGTCTCCCAGTTGATGTCAGGGTAGTTAAAGTCCCCCATTACTATTGTGATGTGCTTCCTACATACCTTAGTTAGCTGATTAGCAAAAAGTTCATCTATTTCCTGTGTTTGGTTGGGTGGCCTATAGTATACACCTATGGCAATGTCGTTCCCCCCCCCTTTTATATTGACCCATATGCATTCAGGACAGTTTTCATCATTGTTGTGTTCTATTTCTGTAGAGATGTAGTTATTTCTTATATAGAGAGAAACTCCACCTCCTCTTTTATTTGGTCTGTTTCTTTTAATAATAATAATAATAATAGTAAAGTTATTACTTTACTATTGAAGGTCATCTAGTCCAACCCCCTGCTCAGGCAGGAAACCCTATACCATTTCGGACAAATGGCTGTCCAGTCTCTTCTTAAAAACTTCCAGTGTTGGAGCATTCACCGCTTTAAATAATTTAAATCCCTCTAGCTGTGTGTTCCATTTGTGGGTTTCGTCCCACCATGTTTCCGTTATGGCAACAATATCATATCTGCCCTCATTAACCTGAATTTCTAGTTCACCCTGGGATCCAAATTTCTTTTTCTGACAAAGAGTTAAAGAATTAAATTGGGAGACTAAGATGGCCATTTCAAGCTTGTTCTGCTCTCATCAGTTAGCCATACCCTTTATGGGATTCGAACCTGGGCAGTTTACATACTAGGTAGTGATTTAACCACCAAGTCACAGGCTTTCCTCCCCTCTTTGCCAGCTGAGTCAAGGGAGTATATACAGGAAGTTTTTCAGACAGACCGGTCTGATTGATTACACCTTGACATTTTTAACTGCTATACTGCAGTTTTATTTTTTACAATATCTTTTGCCTTGCAGCCCCCCAACTGGGGGCGTTAAGCAGGCTCAAGTTGCAACTGCGAAACATTTTAAATCCAAATTTCTTTTTCTGACAAAGAGTTAAAGGGTATGGCTAACCGATGAGAGCAGAACGAGCTTGAAATGGCCATCTTAGTCTCCCAATTTAATTCTTTAACTCTTTGTCAGAAAAAGAAATTTGGATTTAAAATAATAATAATAGTAAAGTTGGAAGGGACCTTGAAGGTCATCTAGTCCAACCCCCTGCTCAGGCAGGAAACCCTATACCATTTCGGACAAATGGCTGTCCAGTCTCTTCTTAAAAACTTCCAGTGTTGGAGCATTCATCGCTTCTGGAGGCAGGTTGTTCCACTGGTTAATTGTTCTCACTGTCAGGAAGTTTCTCCT